GTTAAATCTGGAAAGATTTAATGGAATGCTTTCATTAATTTATTATAAATATGCATTAGTATAATTTTATCTGATAAAATCAGTCTTTCTTAAACTCATAATTATGAACAGAATTATTTCCCCACTGTCAAATTAATGAAATAAAAATCTTATCTACAGAAACAAGCAACAATTCTGGGGAAGGTAAGACAAGTTTATGGAAAGTTACAAGCTTAATATAAATAATTTTGTTATTTTACAGTCTTGGAAAAACTTAACCATGGAAAAACAAATACCTTATTAAATATCCCTAGATTTATCCTTTGATCCAGTTTTTTTGGATTATATAATAAAGATATTCATGCTTCTGTGCATATCATTTTTTAGAATATGTTATTATAAATTGAGCTGTTGAATATAACATACCTACTTTTCTTGTGGAAATAATCCTCCCCACCTACCTCCCATCCCCAACACATGCACACATTATATCATGTACTAAGGTCAAACATAAAGTAACTTAAATATTCTTTTAAGTCTTTAGCATTAACTTAGTAGTGCTTTCATCCTATCATAGTCCCAAATCTGATATTTGTATCATACTCAAATGAGAGCTCTTCCTTTTATATTGTGTTTGCTATCTTTCTTAAATAGTATAAATTGAGTAATCCAAGAAATTATTCTTATTTGAGGTATTGTATAAATGCATTATGTCAATTGATCTATTCCATTCAAGCTTCTTGATAATTAAGTTATTGGTTAATTAATTATTAATCCTTTTGTTAAAATCTTGCCTCTAAATATATTTTGTATTGGTACATATTGCATGTTTCATATTGTTGGGATAATTAGGTCCAAGAAAATAAGGAAATATTCAGGGATTGAGGCATTCTGATTGTTACTTAGTAACTCTAACTAGGTATCTGAACTATGTTTATTAGAAAATTGTGGCAGCTCTATAAGGCAGTGAATTTTTATCTCTTGACAGAATTCATAGTTTAGGCTTTATGGCTTTATGAGCTTTGAATTAAAAGGTCACATTAAATTAATCTTCCCTAATTTAAAATCTGTTTAATGGATTTGGGGTGTCCTAATAAAAAATGCGTTATGACTTTATAAATGCAAACAAGAAACATTCTATGAAACCAAACAGGGAACAATCAAAACAAAAACTCAGAAGTTTTTTTGTGAAATTAAAATTGAAATACAAAGGTAGAAGACTGGACAATCTGATTTGCAGATTGTTTATTTGCAACAGCATTTGACATATTTTAAATTTAAATGATTAATTAAGAAATTACACTGCAACAGAAAGTTTTAAGAGCCTTTTATGTAACTTAATACAATGCTATTTGAGATTGCCAGCAGACTCTTAAAACTCCTGGACACCAGCTCTCTTCTCTTCTGGCTTCCCTCCTAGTCATGTCTTGGCTACTATCCAGAGCTGACAACTTTCACCAGGAGCGAAGGGAGATTTGTCTAGTATAAGAAGGATTTTTGAGCCACCCTAGATTTTCATATCCAGATGGGCAAGGAGGAGGGGTGGCAATATCACTGTATGTACTTGGGTGATGTCATGATGCTACATGTACTATAACCATTAATTTATGATACTGATGAATTCTGAATGTCCTTATTCAAATGTTTCTTATTGGAAATTGTAACAACTTCAAACTTAACACAAAATTATGTTCAAATTTAAGTAACTGATGCACAAATACCTTACACTTCCATTTCCAACTATATGCTGAAGACCAGAGAGGTTTCACATCTTAGCTAATAACATAAAAACATTTACAATCTGTTAGGATGAGAATGTGGATGTTCCAGTTTCAAAACCTCTTCTCATATCATTATGCTAAAGCTTTCTAAACCCTGCTGGTTATATTATGATAATTTGTTATCCATAGCATGTTCCTATTAAAGTGAATTGTGATTATTATGCTTTTAAGGATTTTTTTTAAGCTGTTAATTTTAAATTCTTTTAAGTAAATTCACCTACCTTCATCTAGAGGACCATTTAGGATTAACATTATGATTTGAAAGACCTTTTTACAAGAATGGTTTTAAGGTAAGATTACATCAGTAGACCATATTCTTTATGGATCTTGGAGGTGCAGAAGTATTCTGTAACACTTTTTTAACTTTAGAAAAAAAAGATACATTTATATGCCCAATACCTTTTATGCTTCTACAAAAAGCTAGGTTAGATGAGTTTCTAATAAAAATAAAAGTTATCTCAGAAACTTAGATGTTATTCTTATATAGTCTCCATTGCTTTTTATTCTATAGATGTTTCTCAGATGTCTATATAACTTTCACAGTTAATCTAGTTTGCCACATTATGTAAACTATTTACAAAATAGCTGTGCAGAAAGCAGGAAGGGCACTGTTGTATAAATATTTTATGGTAATAGTATGATTGAAACTTTATTCTTGTGCTAATACTTCATATAAGTTTTTAAAATAGAATTTAGTTTGTAGTTAATAATTGTGATGTACTTGGAGATATAAAAAATAAAATACATGAACAAGTTTCTGAGAAATTTTGAACTCCAGGCTACATATAACTTTTATATTTGGAATTCATTAGGTTTACTCTTCAAAGTGGGTAATTGAGTTATTTTAATTTCCTACAAATTACCTTAAAAAGACCTATAAAGCTGATAAACATTACACATGGTAAAATGGTTTATTAGTAAATTTTAAGATTAGATGAAGAAAGGAAACTCTCTTTGAAATAAACAAATGTCAGGTTGACCATTTAAATACAGATTACCTTTCTTATATGCTACTAGAATGGAAATTAATCTCATCTTTTATTTATATAATTGAGAAAGCCCTAGTTGATAACACTGAAATCTTGAATACTTGAGTTCAAACAAAAAAATTGACTTTATTATTTTAGATTCAGATATTTAGAAACAAAGGCTTAGTCTTTTATTTATAGATAAAAGGAAATCTGACCTTTTTGATTAAGAAATATTATCAGTAGTCTTTATGAGTGCTTGTTCATCTGAGGGTCCATGACAGGAGTATTCTTCCCAGTTGAGTTTATCCTAAAAATGAAATGATAAGAGCCTGCTGGTTGTTATCCAAGATTCTTCTTAATGGGGAAACCACATGGTTATTCTTCATCTCCCACTTGTTCTCACCCTTTACTACCAACCCAGCCACACCCCACCCCCACCCCAACATTGTTCAGTACTCAGCACAATGAATCATTTTCAACTTGACTCATTGTGAACTGTATCCCAGCTGTTGGAATGTCTGGCAGACATTTTTGTTTGGGTGAAGAATAACTGGCTGAAACCCAACCTGGATGAGTTTGATATAATGGTCTTTGGCTAAAGAAATATTGAGAGGAACATGTTTATGGCCCTGAAGCCCCTGTTATTCCTGGAGTAGGACCATCCCCTGTGGCACAGAACTGAAAGTAAGGAATCAATCTGGATTATTTTCTCACCATTGAATGAAAAATTGCCTTAGAAAAAAATAGGCATTTCCAAATTATGTTTGTTTTTTATACTGAGTGTGCCCACGTGATTGAAAGTATTAAAAGACAATTAAGGATAATTATTTTTACTGGTTCTTTTTAAGAGCACTGATTCAAAGGCTGAAACATCCTTTATATAACACACATTCCAATTTATAGAGGAGTTTCAAATACTGCCGTAAATGTGAGCTAACTAGTCATTCCGACAGAATATTTGGTCACAGGCTACTATGTATTTCATACCGAGTCAGGTTACGTTAACCAACCCTCTTTTATTTTTCATTCTTATGTAATCTTTGTAAAGGTATTGAAAAACCAGAGGAATACTAGTAACTTCAGTAGTCAATCATATTTTGAGAAAATGAAAATCTTTGATTATATTTGGCCTCTTCTCTAACAGGGGACATAGTGTCAGACTGATAAATTTTCTGGACTATTTGACATTTCCCATCTTTTCTTCAAAGATTAATTTTAAACTGGTGGGTATTACCAGTATATAAAATAAGAGTATCAGAATTACAAAATTTTACAAACAATATTTTCAACTTATCTAAATCTTCAGTCCAAAAAATTTTGTAAAGTATAATAGCATACTATCACAGTTTTCTAACTTATCACTCTGTCAGGGCCTAAAAGGAATTTCCATTAAATAATTTTTTAAAATCTCCCAGGTTATTTGATTATTATATTTTTATATCCATGAAATAAATTCTGAGCATTTTAAAAATTGTGCTACTTAATAACTGGGCATACTATATTTGGAAACATATTAATACATTATTTTAATCTAGTGAAATGTGACATTTCTTAAGATATTTAGCAGTATATTTTAGTTCATCTTGGGTTGTGTTGGGGAAAAAAAGGTAGGCTCCTACTCTGAGTGTTAGTCATCACCATCTTTTCTTTGCCTTTATTGTTATCCCAGAGCCAAATGGCAGCATCTGGAAGGAGAAAACAGAAGACTCCAGAGCTAGCCATGTTTCAGACTCTTAGCTGGACCCTTCCATGTTTCTAATATGTCACAGAGGACCTCAGCTGTTATAGGGCTGGGACCTAGTCCCAGCTGACAGACAACAATGAGACCCTTCCCTTACTTTATGCTGTACTATCTACTGTTTCTGAACCCTACTGTCTGCCAGATTTTCCAATATGCAGTTGGTGAAGTAATTCAAAAAAATAATAGTGTATGAATATACAAATAGCCTTGCTCCTTAAGATAAGTAAAAAAATAATGCATTTATGTTTTCTACCAAAACTAGTCAGTTAATGTCTTCTTCCAATTTATGATTTCCCCTCAGCTCTTCAAATTAAAATAGCATACCTACATGGGTCGGAATTTTCAATTAAGAGTGTATTTTCATCTAGTTTTAAGCATGTACTAGCTTTTAATTTTTTAGTTATTTCTCTGTGTCAATAGTCTATACTACAATTTGTCATTGAGGTGGCATAGTGGCATTGTATAGATGTTAGATGTTATATTTTTAAACATAACATTTAACATGACTTTTGTTTTCATGTTTTTCAGAATAAAGCAATTATTGCTCGCGTTACAAACTTGTCAGATACAGTAGTTGGTCTGGAATCATTTATTGGCTCTGAGAGAGAAACCAACCCTTTATATAAAGATTATCATGGTAAGCAGCACCTCTATAATGAGAAGAGCATATCCTAGCTTCTGGAAGCATCCTGTCCAGTCAGAATATCTACTATCAATTAGTATGAATTTTATTTTATAATATACCTGTTAAATGTTTTCCATTTCTGGCCAGTCTTCCCTGGCAGTTTATCATCAAACTACATTGAGACTACAGGTAATGATAACTGTTTGATAGGAGTCAAATCCAAGTACTAAGGCATGGCTAAGTCAGATGTACATTTTGTTGTCCCAGTGGCTTAAAGTTGCCATGAAATCAGTCATACTTATTAGCTGTGTTTAAAATAAATATCATGTTAATTCTAATAATAACAGCTTTATATAGCAGTTTATACTTTACAAAGCTTGCTGTATGATAAGATACGTACTATAATATATTTTAAAATTCCTAGTTCACAGTCACATTATCAGAAAATGAACATCTTTGATTACATTTGGACTTTTCTCTGTTTACTCATTTTGTTGGTAGAGTTATAAACAAATTTTAAAATATTGCCACCCTGATATAAACACAGGTAAATTCATCAGACTTTTACTTACTTTTTTTTTACTTAGAATAATATTTTAGTCATTTGGTTAATTTGAGAATTTTTAATATAAAGGTTCTTACATAGAACCATTTGAATACTAAAGCCTTAATAGTTAGGTCTTAGTATCTTAGATCTAAACTAAATATAGAATGTGGTGAATAACAGATTTTTATCTATTTACTTATTCTGAACATATATAAATTATTGCTGTTATTATAGTGGAACTGCTATACTTCAGTGGAAACCTCTAAAGACTGATGAGCTTATTTGAACCCTGCTACAAAATTGTGTAAGACTGTGATTGTCTGAGACTGTGGCAGACTTTTTGTTGGTTTACATATTAAAGTCTCCAAAAAAAAGTATGAAAGATTGTAAGATATTTTATATGATATTCAGCCAGTGCTTTGAAGAGTCATCATATAGCCTTTTTAAAAATAATAAAATAATATAAGCTGTAAACAAAAGCTACTGTAAAATAGTTTGCTTCATTATTATTTACTTGCATAAGTGTGCATATGGTATATGCCCAGGTTAACCCTATGTATACCTCATTTGATATATTGTTTTCATTATGATAGGAAAAGATCTATTACGATTTAACTATTTTTTTATTTATTATTTCCATTTACTTTTAAGACAATTCAAGTTAAATCTTACTTTAATAAATTATATACTGAATATCATTTATAAGTATCATAAGTTTGTGAATTTAATAAAATTATATTTCATATTCTAAAAAAATTATTTTGATTAACCCTTTGCACTCACTTGCTTTTTTCTCATTATCCACTCGACATTATCCACACTCAACATCCAAGTGAAAAGGGTTAAAACATCTTAAAGGTTGAAAGGCTATGAGTCTTTGTGCTGAAATCTCTGCATTGATAAATTATTCCCCATAGAGTAGTAAGTGATTGTAATGACAAGTAAACTTTCTTTAAAGAAGGACTTGATGAAATCATTCATTCATTCTGTAAGACTCCTGATTTAATAGGTAGCTAAACAAGTACATGTAAGGTTAAAATGAGAAAGGTGCAAATAAAAGTATGGTGTACTGATTTCTAATAAAATATATTTTACTAAATAGCTCTGTGTGAGATATTTTTAATTTGTAGCTAAAGCTGTCGTCTTAATAACACCTTTTACATTTTTTAACTTTAAAAAAATTGTCAAATATTTTAGTGAATTATTTTTGAAAAGGCTGTTTCTAAAAGGAAGCACCTGGAGTTTTACCTTTTTAAGTGAAAACTAATGCATATATTACTAAGCATTCAAACGCACACACAAAAACCTTGTACTAGAGAAGCAGTAAAGAATCTGTAAATAAAATTTCTCTATTTTTTCAAATAGGGAACTTTCATTTTCCCACCATGTTTAGGGATCAGTGTCTTTGGGAGGGTGATTTTTAAATATGAGCTGAGTCAGGCAGAAAGATGCACTGAAGAACCTTCCATGTCTTCATCTGTGGGAAATGACCCCTAGTTTAGTCAGAAACTACATTAGGCTACACAAAAGCCATCCAGTGCCCTTGTCAGAAAAAATTAGCGATTATTTCTACTGACAAGAGGCCAAAGCTCACGGTTTACCTAGCACTGTTGCAAAGCTCATAACAGCTACATAAAGATCTAACATGCCGTAGAAATGAATGTCTTCGGGTGGCATAAGGGTTAATGTTTGATCCTAGAGTGTGCTCTGAAATGTAGTTTTCTTCAGTGGTTTGTTCAAGTCATTAATAAGGTACAGAATGAAATATTTTTCATGAGTGCTTCACTGGTTATCAGTAACCCATAAGCCTTGTTTTGCTGGCTGCTTACTGGTGCATTTAATAAAATAAAGATCACTCAGTGGTGCCGTGGGCAGCATGCAAGGTGATAGCCATATTTGCTTACTGTAAATACAAGAGAAAATCACCCACAAACCGGCTGTAGTTTTGACAAGTATTAAGATCCCTCTTTACATCTGTACTTCTGTACCAAAGTGCAATTAGTTTTCCTCGCACAAGGATTTCTGTTTATCTTATTCTGCTTGATTACTTGAGTATAATCACACCATTTGCTTCATTGCTCCTGGTAGTAAGCTCCAGTTTTAAAAGGGGAGGATGCTTGTGTGTAAATTTACAGGATTCTGCTGTAAGACTCTTTAATTTATGCATCTAATGACAGCGTTTTTAAATTTTTTCCTTTTAATTTCCTTTCCACAAGGTTTGATTCATATACGGCAGATTCCTCGGCTTAATAACTTGATTTGTGATGAATCAGATGTCAAAGACTTAGCTTTTAAATTAAAAAGGAAGCTATTCACCATTGAGGTAAGAGAATTTTTATGTTTTAGTTTACAGTCTTGAGGTAAATAGTATCTCTCTCTCCTGCCTTTTTACCTTAATGAAATGCTTAGGACATGTTTCATGCTAAATATCTGAAAGATTTTTGGTGTAATGGAATAATTTTTACACTATCTTTTTCTTTTATTTAGTGGTATATCATCAAAGTATAGCAAGAATGATTTTGTTTTAAATGTATATTAAAAGTTAGCTCTAAATATCTATTAAAAGTTACATGATAAATATGACATGCATATTTCCAAGGCTTTCAAAAGCATATTTAATTAAATGTTAATGAGCTATGCTTACTTGTGTGTGGAATGTGAATGCTACCACAATTGTGTATGGCTAAGAGGATTCTTATCTACATGTTAAAAGCATTTTTCTTTACTATTATTGAAACTACCTTTTGCTTTCCATGCAGAATTGAACAGAATATGATTTACACTGGTGTCTTTAAGTAAATTTCCTACAACACTTAAACTTTTTTGTAACCTTTATGCAAGCAATGGTGACAGAAGGTAGTAGTACAAAAGATTTATTTCAACTTAATCTTGCTAAAGAGCAAATGAACAGAGAACTATTAAGCAATTAGAATTGATGTATTTATTAACGAAGTAAATGCTCAGAGAGCAATGGCTTTTGGGTGATGTGATAGTTATCAGTATAGTCGGTGCAATTTTTTTTAACAAAGACATAAAACAGCCAAGCAGCCTTGACAAACCATTTTGTTTAATCTCTTTTCAAATGAAAAGCTCTTAAGCAGGCCACTTGTCTTAACTGCTTGAAACCATTAAAAAGAGAGAATTGCCACCAATAAATTAGCATATTTTTAACTTCATCACCAAATGATGGTCAATGTGGCTTGGCACTGCTTTGGTGTTTGGGACTTCACCCTTAAGTGACCACTTTGGCCCTTTTTTGACCCTTTGCCCTCTTTAAGCTGGCCACTTGATAAGGTAACTTAATGGTTCTCTCTTTTTCTCTTTCCCTTCACATTTGCAAGTAGCACTAACCTATAAATCATTGTAAGGGCCCTATCCAGTGACAAATTAATGTGCCCTCCTCCTAATTAATGGTCATCAATGTCCTTAATTATCTAATCCTATTGAGAGCAGTTAATAGTTAATCAGGCAGCCAGTTCTTCAAGCAGGTCATCTCTGCAGGAGTGTTAGAAGTTTCTCATCTGGGGATACTCCCTTCAAAAGCCACTTAAAGCCAAAAGAGTGAGAGTGTAGAAATAGTGATCCTTGAGCTAATTTGCTTTAGTTCTCAAAAGAAACCATTGAAATGGAACCCAACACTGTAATTGTTCAAACATTGTTTCAGTTTTTCTGGTAGAATACTGAGTAATTTACCATAATATTGCTTAAAACTTTTAGAGGGATAAAGTTTAGTACCATGAAGAAACCAGGCTTATCATTTTCTTTTAAGTTGAATTTGTATTTTTAATGAAAGATGCTTTTTCCCTCTGTGTGGCACTTTTCCCTCCAAATTTCTATTCTGATAACCACATCTAAGATATCATTTCTATTACCATACAAACTAAGTAAGGTGATCCCCCAGTGAAAACAAATATTGCGACCAGAGAAAAAAGTAGTACAGTAGTGTGAATCGTGTTTATGAATTCTCTCTCTTTCTCTTTCTCTCTCTCATTGGGTCTTACTGGGAATTGGAGAGGAAGGAAAGAAAAAACTTACATAATGTCAAGTGGGACCTTTCCTCTGAATAACTTTAGTTTCTAATCGTTACTATAGTTTACCATTGGTGTTAATCAGAGATCTTTTATTAACCACACAGGTTTCTGTTTCATTTTCTCTCTTCTTCTTACTATGCTAAACTAACAATCATTATAATTGGTCACCCTGTGGTTTATAAGCAATATTTGAAAAAAAAAAAAAAACCACAGACGATTGTTTTTTAAAAAGCTAATATTCAATATAATCAATCAAATCCTGTACCTTTTTTGGCTTATAATCTAGTCAGTAAGGTTTTTGTTTTTAATAGAAATATCGGTGAAACACACTCTAAATAACTAATTTACTTATACCATAATATTCAGTTTAGTGATTAGAAAAAATAAATTAAGGAATCAGATAAACCTAATACAAGTACATGCAGTTATAGTTAGAAAAGAATAAAATCATGTGGTTCACCTAAGATTAAATGTTTTAAATATAACATTGTACATTAGAAAATGCATATTCAAATGGATAGCAAGTCTTTGGTGATATGTTGTAAAAACTGGAAACAAAAGTAGAAATGACCTGAAAGTAATTAGTTTGAGGATTCCTTTATTGGATGTAAAATCGTCTATCAAATGGCAGTGTTTTAATATGCACAAAAAATATTTTTTTAAATGGCCTGATACTTTTTAAAAAATAAAATGTATACTGTAATAGTCTGTAAAGTCTGAGACTGTAGTATACCAGGCATTGAATCTGAGTTTTACTTTTAGAAGCAAAAGATGCTTTGACAGGTAAGGCAGAAATAAATATTCTGATTTCAGGCAGGTAGATTTGTTGTATGTTGGAATTTACTTTCAGTCACATGGTCTCAAAAGAGGGCATGGTTGGAAAGAAGGGGCAAAAGAAGCATGCAAGCACCCCTCATCTCTATTTTTAGGATATCTTTGATAAATGATTGTACTTTTTATGTATGAAAACTAATTATCTTTTCAATAACAGCTACCAAGGGCCTTTAATAGGTAGAGCAACTTTAGCTCGTAGTCTCTAATTTCTTTAAGTGATTTGGAGAAGACAAAAGAATATTTCTTCCTTTGGAGTATGTATTGGCATTGTCCAGATTCAAGTGGAAATGTGTATCTAATCACAGTTAAAATTTATACTAATACCTGTAACTGTAAAGTTCAATAAATTAGCTCCTCTACAAAAGCCATAGCAGAATCGTTCTATACTAATGACATTAAAATCCTGGCAGGCATTCTAGATAAGTAAAAGAGAATGTTTCAAGTTGATTCATTATGTCTTCAGGTTAAAAGAAATGTATTTCCAATTCTTTGAAAACTGATAATTCTTATAAGCTGCACATGGTCAAAAACTAGTATATTTGACTAACCATAATATACAAAACTTATTCCTTGGCCTTACCCAGATCAAGTTTACCTAACCTTACCTAACTTGCATTCAATCATAGCAAACATTTATTGAGCCATTTTTGTGTACCAACCACTATATTGGCTTATTTATATTTTTATATAGTGATGAAATATTTTTTAAAAAGCTTTACTAATATGTAATAACAGGTTCAATATACAGAAATTACGTCTTTTTCATCTTTATATCTATCCCAGGCAGATATAAAAGAACAAGTTCATTTACTTAGTAGGTATAAAATCTTTGCTGAAATTATGTAATATAGATATTTACTTAGTAGGTATAAAATCTTTGCTGAAATTATGTAATATAGATAAATTATGAATGGAATTTTTTAAATTGTCCAAATAATATAGCTATAAATATTATATAAACTCCACTGGTGAAGTAACCACACTGCCTTCTCAGTTACATGTAAAATGTATAACTTGGATGCATAGCTTCACTTCCAAATTATTAATAAAATAACTATTTTAACTCCAGTCTCTAATTTTTGCTTCTCTAACCTTGAGATTATCATTAACCAGTTTTTTCTTTACATTAGTAATTACAATACATGTTAAGTAAGATTTGGTAGAATGTGAAATGTAGCTGCATGTAACTTGATGACATTATAAAAGCAACATTTTCACTTGCACTTAATATTACTTTGCAATTTTGATTTTATATTTTCAGCTTGAACATATCTTAGCACATTCTAGTAACAAAACTTTTTAATATAATGATAATATTGTGTTATTACATTAGTTGCAACATCTATTAAGGTTACTACAAAGAGAGTTTCCACTTTGATAGTGGGACAGTTTTCCAGCTCTAAGAATCAGTGTTTCTAAGATCAAGTCAGAGAGTATAGTAATTGAGTTAAACTGAAATATACAAAAGACACACACTGTTTACTACAAACTTTGAATATAAGGATAAATGATACTTATAAAGCTATAATTGGTCCAAAAGTAATAATTATCATAAATGGTGTGTCTATGTGAGTCTTGTAGACTAAATGAATATTGAAATGGAAAATGTCAAAGTAAATGAAGTTTATTCAAGGTTATCTTGTCATACTTTGCCTCTAATTCAGAATACACGACCTTAGTACCTCTTTAGTCACCAAGAATACTTTCTCGCAAAACAATTGATCAACCAGTTTTTATTAAATAGCTATCATTTTTTATTTACTTAATAGACTCATTCTTAAGTATCAAGACCAAAATGGTATATCCCATCAGTATAAATTAGATGTATAATAACACTATAATATAATTTGATATGTAGAAATATTGGAAAAGCATAAACTCTTATAAACTACAAAGGTGCTAGTCAAATATAAAATGCTTGGCTTGGAAACCTTATTAAGTAGCATCATGGGCCATAGTCCAGTATTCCTTTTCTGATTATGATGCCCTTCACAAATACTGATTGCTATTTTAATTAGCTTTTATTCCTAGATATACTGCAGTTAGCAAAAAGAAAAAAAGTCAAAGTTGAAGACAGGCATCTATTCATGTGGATGAAATCATTTGTGAAAAGTAAACCCAAATTAACATTCTTTAACAATGGAAAGGTAATTTTTTACATGTTTACATTTTAATATATGCATTATATTACCATCTTCATATTTATATTTTCATTTCTAAGTGATATAGACATATAGTAGTGTCACAGATGTTTTACAGAAATCTTCAGAAGTTGGTTTAATACTTAATATATCCTATATATTTCACATGCCATAGTGAACCTATCAAAAGTGCATACCACCTTAAGGAGAACACAGTTTTGAGATTCTGCCTAATCCTATTTCTTCCCACTTTGGAATCTTAATTAGAAGAGATAAGGAAAAAAAAAACATCATTTAACTAAATTATTGTCTTGAAT